CCTCGACAGTGTGCTGGAGAATCCTGAAGAGGTGGAGAACTGGCTCGGCAATGCCTGGGCTGATTATTTCGCCAAGGCGGGTGCGGCGCACCACATGATCGCCAACACGGTTTCCCAGTCGCTCTCGGAGGCCCTGAAGGTCCATAAGGCTACGTTGCAGTTTGTGTCGCGGGCGTGCTTACGTGTCATTGTCTCGGAGAGCTGGGGCCGAGGTCCCCCGCCACCCGTTCAGGATCCTGAGGCCCGTGAGATCCTGGGGCAGCCAGTCGTGTTCGGACGGGGTTCAGCTCATGATCTTTGGTGGTGCAAGAGACTCAAAGAGCACAGGTGCAGGAGATGTGGGAGATCGGCTCGATCGGACTCGACCCTAGCGTGGCTTAGGACGGGGTCGGGAAGGAAATGTGAGCCCTCTAGCCTCCAGAGCTTAGCCTGTGCGGAATGGTTTAAGAATTCGGTGGAGGTCTGGGTCAAAGTGTCGGACCCCCGCATCGCCCCGTCACAGGTGATTGTCGCGGACTTTTTGGGGGAAGGGCCTTCCGAGGCCTCGAAGGGACCCCTTCCTGGGCCCACGGACCCTCCCCAGGAGCCTGCGGAAGGCGAGGTTTCAAACAGTTCGGGGCCGAACGAGCTCATTGCCGAGTTTGCGGCATTGGGCCATGACGTTTTCTGCGTGAATTCGGTCTACTGTTGCCGTAAGTGTGCTGGCACGACGACCCTCGAGACGTCACGGAGCGTTCGGAAGCTCCGTCGTCCCTGTGCTGGGCTCTCAGAGAATCCGAGCACGAGGGCCAATCAGCTGGGGTTGATCGATAGGATCTTCCACGGCCGACAAGGGCGCCCCAAGCGCCCCGAGGGCAAGGCGCAGACGTAACTCGTCTCGCCCTCCTGGGAGCGGTTTCGTGGCGTCGGTTTTCCCTGGCCCCCGCCTGCCCTCTCAGTACATAATATTTCCGCCGCGTTGCGGCCCTCAGGGTCCCATCTGTTCCTGAGGCGTGTTCGGATCGGACGCGCTCTCGGTGGCCCTCACCTTCACCATCCTCCCTCCCTCCCTCCCTCCTCTGTCAGCCCCCCCCCCGCGACCGTCAAGAGCCGCAGGCCCGCCCGGCGCCCGGCGGGCCGCGGCCCCCGCCCAGCGGACCGGCGCCCGCTGCCGACCCGCCCACGGGCGGCGCGCCTCCGCCCGCGGGCGTGCCGCGCCCGACAGCGACAGGGCGCTGCTGGGAGGGCGCCGTCGCCGTCGTCGGCGTCGTCGGCGTCGTCGTGGAAGTCGTCGAAATGGACGTCGCCGTTCGCGTCCCCGTCGCCGTCGCCGTCGCCCTCGGCGTGGTCGGCGTGGCCATCGCCGTCGTCGTCGTCGTCGTCGTCGTCGTCGTCGTCGTCGTCGTCGTCGTTGTCGTCGTCCTCTTCGTCGTCGACGTCGGCGTCTGCAGAGGTTTTCGAACGTTTTCGTCGGTTCTCGGCGTTTTTCCAGTCTCCCAGTGCTCTCCAGCAGCTGCGCCTCGCCGAGAGGCGTCCAGGGGTGCCCAGATTGCCCCGAACGGCCGCCAGAAAGCCGAGTGATGAGCCGAAGATCAGTGGGCCCCGTCGTCATCGTCGTCGGCTTCGTCCCCAGATCTTCGGCCACATCATTTCGTTCTGTAAAGGCGTTATTCCTCGATTTCGGCCTCATGGGCTCGTTCTCGGGCCCTCGGGCCACCAAAAACGGATCCGTAACAAAAAACTACCCCATGGAAGTGCTCGGGAGCTTCGGAGCCGCGGACTGAAAAATTAGCATGACGAAGGGCCCAGCCAGAAGCAGTTGTGGATACCGCGTTCTGGGTCCATCGTTCGACGGGCCTCCCTATGGGACCACGAACCGTGGATGCAATGGGCGGCCCGCAGCGGGAAGAGGAAATGGACGTGCGGTGGGCGGGGAGGGCGCATCCGGACGCGGCCATTGGCGCCTTCATTGGAGTTCCCTATGGGGCCACGAACCGTATGAAGGGTGTGCCGAAATTGACGTGCGACGGGCGGGGAGCCGCATGTGGACCCTGTCACTGGGGCCTTCGGTAGAGCTCCCTATAGGGCCACGAACCGTGTGAGGGGTGTGCTGAAATTGGCATGTGGCGAGCGGGGAGGGCGCATGCGGACGCGGCCCCTGGGGCCTTCGGTGGAGCTCCCTGTGGGGGGCCACGAACCGTGTGAGGGGTGTGCCGAGATAGGCATATGGTGGGCGGGGAGGACGCATGCGGACGCGGCCACTGGGGCCTTCGGTAGAGCTCCCTATGGGGCCACGAAACGTGTGAGGGGTGTACCGAAATGGGCATGCGGGTTGGTGGTGAGGGCGCATACGGACGCGGTCACTGGGGCCTTCGGTGGAGCTCCTTCTGTAACCACGAACCGTGTGAGGGGTGTGCCAGAATCGACATGCGGTGGGCGGGGAGGGCGCATACGGACGCGGCCAGTGGCGCTTTCGGTGCATCTCCTTATGAAGTCACGAAGTAATGTGTTGGGGGTGTGCCGAAATGGGCATGCGGTGGGCGGGGAGGGCGCATGCGGACGCGACCATTGGGGCCTTCAGTGGAGCTCCCTATGGGGCCATGAAACGTGCGAGGGCTGCGCCGTAATGAGCATGCGGTGGGCGGGGAGGGCGCATGTGGACGCGGCAACTGGGACTTTCGCTGGAGCTCCCTATGAGGCCACGAACCGTGTGAGGGGTGTGCCGAGATAGGCATATGGTGGGCGGGGAGGACGCATGCGGACGCGGCCACTGGGGCCTTCAGTGGAGCTCCCTATGGGGCCACGAACCGTGTGAAAGGAGTGCCAGAATTGGCATGCGGTGGGCGGTGAGGGCGCATACGGACGCCGCCACTGGGGCTTTCGGTGAAGCTCCTTGTGGGGGGCGACGAAGCGTGTGAGGGGTGATGGTGATAATGACGGCGATGATATGATGACGATGATGGTGGTGATGATGATGTTGATGATGATGCTGATGATGATGATGATGGTGATGAGGATGATAATGAGGATAAGGAGGATGAGGATGACGATGAGGATTAGGATGATGATGATGAGGATGATAACCATGATGATGCTGATTATGATGATGATGACTATGACGATGATGACGACGATGATGACGATGCTGATGATGATGATTCTGATTATGATGATGATGATGATGATGATGATGATGATGATGATGATGATGATGATGATGATGATGATGATGATGATGATGAGGGGAGAGGAGGAAGGAAGGAAGGAAGGAAGGAAGGAAGGAAGGAAGGACGGAAGGAACGCGGGGACCGTCTCTTCAAAACGAGGACCCAACACCACAGGATGGTTGGGACAAACATGTCGGCGGATGTCTCGGGACGTCGTCGTCGTCGTAGTTGTTGTCGTTGTCGTCTTTGTTCCCGTCGTCGTCGCTTTGTCGCCGTCATCGTCCGTGGCGTCGTCGTCGTCGCCCGCGTCATCGACGCCGTCGTCCGTGACGTCGTCGTCGTCGTTGTCGCAGTCGGCATCGTGTTGCCGCCGCCGGGAGGGCGTCGTCGTCGTCGATGTCGTCGTCGGCCTCGTCGTCGTCCGCGTCGTCGTTTTTGTCGTCGGCACTGACTTCATCGTCGTCCGAGGTTCGACGGTAGGGCGCGAATTTGTGTGCTGGAAGTTTTCGGCCAGAAGGGCCTCGTCGTCGTAGTCGTTGTCCAAGATCCCTTCGCGTCGTGACCAAAACCTGACGAGCAGTTGTCGGTTGATTACTTTGCGGCGTCGAGTAGCCCTTACAGGGCCCCAGGGCCCTCAAGAAGCGACTCGGGATGATAAGCTGTCCCATGGAAGAGGCCGAGCCAGGAGTCCACGCTGTGAAAAAACACGTCGTCGGTGACGTTTCGGGCCAGTGTCGTCGACGACGTCGTCGACGTTGACGTTAACGTCCGAGGTTCGATATTCGATGGCGGCGTTGGGCGTGCATGGCCCTTTCCCTGGGCTTCCGGAGACCCCCAGAGACTTTTGGAGACCCCAAGAGGCCTCCAGAGACGCTTGGAGACGCCCCCAGTTCGTCGTCGCCTTCGTCATCGTCGGCGTCCTCGTCGTCGTCATCGTCGTCATCGTCGTCGCCGTCATCATCCTCATCCTCGTCATCATCACCATCACTATCATCATCATAACCACTATCATCATCAGCATCATCATAAGCATCATCGTTGTCATCTTCGTCCGCGTCCTCGTCCTCATCATCACGACCACCGTCATGATTGTCTTTGTCAGTGTCCTCATCCTCATCATCTTCATCGTCTGCCTTCTCTTCCTCCACGTCCTCCTCCTCCTCCTCCTCCTCCTCCTCCTCGTTCTCCTCCTCTTCCACCTCCCCTGCTTCCTCTCCCTCGTCATCTGCCTCGCCCTCCCCCTTCTACTGATCATGTTCCCTCTAGCCAATTTGCCTTTCGCTGTGTGCCAGGTCAGATTTGGATGGGCTGCGCCCCGCTACCGCTCCGCCGCTGCCTCCCCAAACTCCTCCTCCTCCTCCTCTTCCTCCTCCTCCTCTTCCTCCTCCGCATCCTCCTCCTTTCCCCCTTCGTCCTCCTAAGTATCCCTTTCTCCTGCTAGTCCGTATCCTCCATCGTTTCCTCATCCAGCAAATCCTAAATGGGCGCTCCCTGGGCCGAATCTGGGCACTGTCTTTGAAAGATTGGCCTGAGCACGAAAGGCCACGAACAAAACACTGCACGCGTGGAGCACAGGCGGACCGAGCGTGGGCATCAGGCAACAGCAGCGTCAGATGCCACGCCTCCTCCTCTGCCCGCCTCCCCCCGGATCCCAAAGCCGACCGCTGGTCTGTCACGCTGCCCGCTCCTCCCTCTCCTCATCCTCCCGCCTCGTTCCCTCCCCTTCCTGCCTCCTCCATCCCCCTCTCCTTCCTCCCTCCCTCGCCCGTTGCTCCGAGATCTCCCTCCCTTCCTCCTCGGTGTCCCCCTCTGCCTTCTCCCCGCTGGCGGCCGCGCGCCCCATGGGCTCCACAGGCCGCCGGGCAAGCAGTACAAGAGGACTCCGCAGGACGAGGGGGGGGGGGGGGCGCTTCTCTGGGAAGGCAAGGGGGGACGAGGGGTAGGGGGGCGAAGAGGAAGGGGGAAGGGGGGGGCTCAGGGGGGGCAGAGGGAGAAAGGAAAGAAGGAGGAGGAGGAGGAGAGCGAGGAGAGGGAGGAAGGGAGTGATCTTCCCAATCATCCTCCTTGTCCCCCCCCCCTCCTCCTGCTCCTCCTCCTCGTCCTTCTCGATCTCCTCCTCCTCCTCCTCCTCCTCCTCCTCCTCCTCCTCTTCATCATCCTCCACTTCGCAGTCCTCCTCCTCCTCCACCTCCTCCTCCTCATCATCATCATCAGCAGCAGCATCAGCAACATCCCTCCGAAGGACCTCGGCTTCGAGGACGTTGGTGATGGCGTCCTGGCGCGCGCTGCCAGGCTGCGGGTCGGCATCACCGTCGGCAGGCCGTTGCGGGTCGCTGTCGTTGTCGCAGGATGAAGAGGATGAGGATGTGGGTGAGGATCAGGATCAGGATCAGGATAAGGATGATGATGGTGATGATGATGATTATGATGATGATGATGATCATCATCATCATCATCATCATCAGCATCAGCATGATCACAATGACGAGCATGATGATGATCATGGTCATGATGATGATGATGAGGAGGAGGAGGAGCAGGAGGAGGAGGAACGTGCTGTCGGACCTGGCGGACGCCTACTCTCGTTACTATTCTTGCCGCGGCCTTTTCTTACAGCCTTTTCCGCGGCGCTCACCAGGTACCTTTTGCGTCGAGCCGTGTTTACTTCACTGTTCATTCAAGAACGCCACATTCGTAGGATTCAGGTTTGGTCAATGCACAAGGAGGAGGGGGAAGAGGAAGAGGAAGAGGAGAAATAAGACGAAAAAGCTAAGAATAAACCTAAGAATAAGCACTATAATCATCATAACAATCAGAAGAAGGAAAAGAAAAAAGGAGAAGAGGACGAAGAAGAGGAGAAGGTGGCAGAGGAGGCAGTGGCGGCGGAGGCGGCGATCGGAGAGAGGATGGGGGAGAGGATGGAGGATGGGCAGTAGGAGGGGGGATGGGCAGGAGGAGGGTGGGTGGGAGCTGGGAGGGAGGGCACCCCCAGCAGGATGCTGCAGGTCGGCAACCTGGACCGGCCGAAGCCAGAGGACGGGCCGCTGCCGCCCGGCCGGGCGACGCTGGAGGTCCTCGTCAACAGGACCCTCGCCCTCGCCGCGGCTCGGCGGCGCCCGCCAGGAGGCTCAGACCTCCTCGAGCCATGTACAAATCACGACGGGAGGTTTGTTTCCCCCAAACCATCTTGCGGTGCTGCGTCCTCGTTTTGAAGAGACGGCGCCCCGCGTCTCCTCCTCCTCCTCCTCCTCTCCCCCTTCCTCCTCCCTCCTCCAAACCTTGCCTCATCTTGCTTCTGCCCTCCGCATGTAGACCTGTCCCGCGCACTCCTCGCAAGCTTCGTTCGTTCATAGGGAGCTCCACCGAAGGCCCTGGTGGCAGAGTCCACATGCGATTCCCCGCCCATGTCGGCACACCTCTCACACACGCTTCGCGGCCCCGTAGGAAGCTCCACCGAAGGCCCCAGTGGGACAGTTCGCATGCGGTTCCCCGCCCATGTCGGCACACCCCTCACATGTTTCGAGGCCCCATAGGGATCTCCACCGAACGCCCCAGTGGCAAAGTTCGCATGCGGTTCCCCGCTCATTTCGGCACAACCCTCACACATGCTTCGTGGCCCATAAGGAGCTCTACCGAAGACCCCAGATGCGGTTCCCCGCCCATTCCAGCACACCCTATACACATTTCGCGGCCCCGTAGGAAGCTCTACCGAAGGCCCCAGTGGCGATGCCCCTCACACGCGTTGTGGCCCCATAGGGAGCTCCACCGAAGGCCCCAGTGGCGAAGTTCGCATGGGGTTCCCCACCCATTTCGGCATATCCCTCGCACCCTTCCCGGTCGGGAGCTTAACCGAAGGCCCCAGTGGTAAAATTCGCATGCGGTTCACTGCAAATTTCGGCACACCCCTAACACTTTTCGCGGCCCCATAAGGAGTTCCACAGAAGGTCCCAGTGGCAAACTTCGTATGCGGTTCCCCGCCCATTCCAGCGCACCCCTTACAGATTTCGTGGCCCCGCAGGGAGCTCCACCCAACGCCCCATGATCAAAGTTCACATGCGGTTTCTCGCTCATGTCAGCACACGCTATACACGTTTCGCGGCTCCGTAGGAAGCTCCACCGAAGTCCCCAGTGGGAAAGTTCGCATGCGTTTCCCCGCCCATTTCGGCACACCCCTCAAACGTTTCGTGGCCCCATAAGGATCACCACCGAACGCCCCAGTGGCAAGGTTCGCATGCGGCCCCCCGCCCATTTCGGCACACCCCCCAAACGTTTCGTGGCCCCATAAGGATCTCCACCGAACGCCCCAGTGGCAAGGTTCGCATGAGGTTCCCCGCCCTTGTCGGCACACCCCTCACGTTTCGTGTCCCCGTAGGGAGCTCCACCGAACGCCCCAGTGGCAAAGTTCGCATGCGGTTCCCCGCCCATGTCGGCGCACCCATCACGTTTCGTGTCCCCGTAGGGAGCTCCACCGAACGCCCCACACGTCTTGTGGCCCCATGAAAAGCTCAACCGAAGGCCCCAGTGGGACAGTTCGCATGCGGTTCCCCGCCCAGTTCGGCACACCTCTCACATTTCGTGGCCCCGTAGGGGGCTCCACCGAAGGACCTAGTGGCACAGTTCGCATGCGGCTCCCCGCTCATTTCGGCACAACCCTCACACGTGTTGTGGCCCCATTGGGAGCTCCACCGAAGGCCTCAGTGGCGAAGTTCGCATGCAGTTCCCCGCTCATTTCGGCACACCCCTCAAACGTTTCGTGGCCCCGTAGGAAGCTCCACCGAAGGCCCCAGTGGCGAAGTTCGCATGTGGTCCCAGGCCCAATTCGGCATACCCATCACACGTTTCGCGGCCCCACGAAGGTCCAAGTAGCAAAGTTCGCATGCGGTTACCCGCTACTTTCGGCTAACCCCTCACACGCTTCGTGGCCCCATAGGGAGCTCCACTGTGTGCCTCAGTTACAAGGTTCGCATGCGGTTCCTCGCTCATTTCGGCACATCCTTGGCACCCTTCCCGGTCACGTGGGGAGTTTCACCGAAGGCCCCAGTGGTAGAGTTCGCATGCGGTTCCCTGCAAATTTCGGCACACCCCTAACACTTTTCGCGGCCCCATAAGGAGTTCCACAGAAGGTCCCAGTGGCAAACTTCGTATGCGGTTCCCCGTCCATGTCGGCACACCCCTCGCACATTTCGTGGCCCCGTACGGAGCTCCACCAAAGACCCCAGTGGCAAAGTTCGCATGCGGTCCCAGGCCCAATTCGGCACACCCACGTCGCGTGGCCCCACGAAGGTCCCAGCAGCAAAGTTCGCATGCGATTACCGCTACTTTCGGCTCACCCCTCACACGCTCCGTGGCCCCAGAGGGAGCTCCAGTGTGTGCCTCAGTGGCAAGGTTCGTATGCGGTTCCCCGTCCATTTCGGCGCAATCCTCACATGCTCCGTGGCGTCATAGGAAGTTCCACCGAATGCGGTTCCACAACGCGGCATTCACAACTGCAGATGGGTGGGTCTTTCGCCAGGATGGTTCCCCACTCCTCCTGTCATCATCGTCATCATCATCATCATCACCACCACCACCACCACCACCATCCACCATCATCCCTCTTACCATCATCATCATCACTACCACCATCCAACCAGCATCATCAACCCTCATCGTCATCCACTCACCCCCTCAGTCACTCACTCACATTCACTCATCACTCAATCGTCATCATGTGATGGTCCCATCATGATCACCGGCCATCAGCAGCGCACACCACCATCGTCATCAATATCACCACCCCATCATGGCAATCGACCAAGAGGGGCCTCGTTTGTGAGTGAATTGAGGGGAAGTCTCAGGCGGGAGCCCCCTCCCTATGGAGCCCACACTTCATGTTGGCAACTGGAGCGAGCCATCCAAACCCTGTAACTGTTTTCATTGTTGGGCCCTTCACGCCTGATTTTTGGAGAAGCCTCAGGCGGGAGCATCGTTTGTGAGTGAATTGCGAGGAGTTCTCAGGCGGGAGCCTGCTCCCTATGGAGCCCGCACTTCATGATGGCAATCGGAGCGGGTCATCCAAACCTTGTAATTGTCGTCACTCTTGGGCCCCTAACGTTTAAGTTTCAAAGACGCCTCAGACGGGAGCCTCATATGTGAGTGAATTGCGACGAAGTCTCAGAGGGCAGTTCCCTCCTTCTGGAGCCCGCATTTCACGTTGGCAATCGGAGCGGTTCATCCGAATCGCGTAGTTGTCGTCACTTGTTGGGCCCCCCACGCATGATGTATGAAGAAGCCTCAGGCGGGAGCATCGTTTGTGAGTGAATTGCAAGGAATTCTCAGGCGGGAGCCTGCTGCCTATGGAGCCCGCACTTCATGTTGGCAATCGGAGCGGGCCATCCAAACCTTGTAACTGTCGGCGCGCTTGGGCCCCTCGCGCCTGAATTTTAATGAGGCCTCAGGCGGGAGCCCCGTTTGTGAGTGAATTGCAAGGAAATCGCAGGCTGGAGCCCTGAAGAGACTTCAGGCGGGAGCCTCATCTGTTAGTGAATTACATGGACGCCTCAGGCCGGAGCCCCCTCCCTGTGGGGCCCACGCTGCACGTTGGTAATCCAAGCGGGTCATGCGAAACCCAGACATGTTGCCAATTCTGGGTTCCCCAGCCAGGCTAGAATCTGGAGGAAGTCTCAGGCGGGAGCCTCGTCTTTGAGTGAGTCGCGAGGAAATCTAGAGCGGGAGCCCCCTCGCTATGAGGCCCGCGGCTCCACGTTAGAATCCGAGCGAGTCTTCGGGATCTCGTAGTTCTAGTTACTGTTGGGCTCCTGAGGAACGAAGGATGATGCGAGCCCTCGCGGGCCAATCCGAGCTGGGTCCTATTGGGTTTTTTTTTTAAGAGGGCCATTCGCTCGGCTGAACCAAGTCGCCCGACGCGGCGATGGCGCCTTAACATCGACTGCGCCAGAGATAAGGACTCTGGTCGCACGGGCATGTCGGACGAGCGGTGGTGGCTGCACCTCTGCGTCATGTTCCCCCGCGCCACGCGCATGCGGAACATGCTGATCTTGCGGCCGCCCACGCGAGTTTCTGGAGCGCGGGCCGCCGGCTCCCCTGCGGAAGGCGCTCCGGAAGTTCGACGAGATAGCGGGAAGCTCCAGAACCGACTCGGAGCAAATCACAGCATGTCTGGGTTCCGCGTTGCCCAACGCCTGAGCGCGGCCGCGCCCGCCTCGAGGCCCGCGGGGTTGTCCCAACGGCCTGGCCCGCGAGGTTGTCCCGACGGCCCGCCCCCGCGCCCCAACGGCCCGCGGGGTTGCCCCAAAGGCATGGCCCGCGGGATTGCCCCAAAGGCTTCGCGATCTTCACGACAACCACGAAGGGTCAAGAGGCTCCAGGATTACTCCGAGTCAGCCTCGACATGCCGCTTGAGTCACAAGATTTCAAGGACGACTCCCAGGTGGCCCAGGCAGGTCATTCAGAAACGCACTGTAGATCCAGAGGCGTCAATTTGTCCACAGGAGGGCCCCAAGATGGCTCAGGACTACCCCGAGAGAGCCCCAGCAGGGCCGAAGAAGGCCTCTGGAGGAACCCTAAGACCAGGATGCCCCAGTGCCGCCCCGAGATGTCCCTAGAAGGTTCCAAGTGGGCACCAACTGGACCACAACACGGGCCCATGGGCCCCCGAGAGAGCCCAATGATGGACGCACGAGAGCCGCACAAAAGACTACGATGAGGAGGTGGTGGTGGTGGTGGATGAGGTAAACGAAGGAGAGGAAGAGGAGGAGCAGCACCCCACATGCACGTCCGCATCACCCTTCCCTTTCCCACCCTCATCATCATCCTTGCGCATCCCTCCTCTCATTATCCCTCCTTCTCATCAATATTAGCATCGTCTTCGCAGTCCTCATAATGGTGATTCACGCCCCACCTTCCTCGTCATGATCATTCTCGTCACCACCGTCGTCCTCATCCCCATCCTCTGGTTATTCCTCGCCCTCATCCTCCACTTCCTCCCCCTCGTCCTTCCCAGGTTCTGCTGTGCCCTCCAGTAAGCAGCTCGATGTGGTTATTTCGAACTCGATGCAGGTTGCAGCAGCAGCAGCAGCAGCAGCT